TCCATCCATCCATCCATCCATCCATCCATCCATCCATCCATCCATCCATTATCTTTTTACCTGATTCTTCCATTTTGGATCACGGAGGTCACTGGTGACCATGTCCAGCAGTCACTGTATGAGAGGCGGGGGACCCTGGACAGATTATAAAGGACAAAATTAAATAGACTATGGTCTAGTTATGACTCATTTAGAGGGCTATTTAGGGGTAGTCTCAGTTTTACTCTTGAATGAATGAAGGATGTAAAACTTAATGTTCTTATATAATAGCCTGTTAACATGTCCTCATGCATTCTCAATGCTGCAGATGTCTTTTTTTTTTTCTTAAAATTTAATTGACGTTGTCAGTTCTGAATTTACATCACATATATCCATTTTTTTGCCTAAATGCAAACATTTTTTAAGAATTAATAACTGTGCCTTTATGCTATTTTTAGGATAGAATAGAATTCAACTTTATTGTCATTGCACATGTCACAGGTACAAAGCAACGAAATGCGTTTGCATCTATCCAGAAGTGCTTAGCAAGAAAAATAAATTGGTAGATATATATAGTACAATATACTGTAAGTTGCTTTGAATATGCTATAGGTATAAATATATACAGTTTGTGAGTGTACAGACTATGAACAGGTTATAATATGAAGGGGTATAAACAGCTATATAAAAGAAGAAAAAAAATATATATAAGTATGTGAGTACTTATGAACAGTAGATAGTACATTATGTGTGCAGTTTGTACAGTAGTGGGCTAACAGATGAAAGTGCAGGTGGTGGTGTTACAGTCCATGTGCTGTTGTTGTGTGTATGAGAATACAGAGATCGGCTACAAAACTATCGGAGGCTTGAGTACAGATGTCCAGAATCTCCTGTCTGCTGTAGAACAGCAACGCTGAGCAATTCTGGATGAATAGTCCGGTCAAAAGTAGGTAGAAAAACGCTAAATAGCATGTTCTGGAGAGACGCTGAGCCTCGCGTTGTTCACGTGCCGCCATCTTGGTCATTTTGTAGACCAAATTAAATTAATTTAGACTTATGATGGGTCTTTTTTTTTTTTTTTTAGCATTTTTCCATAAACAAAAAAAGAATAAAGAAAATAATGTTGTAGAAAGGCTGCTTTAAGCATTAAAAGATTGTTTTCACATGTATCTTTTTTCCGTTTCTACCCACAGATGTTTCACGTGCAGACAAAAAGGAAAGCAGGTGTCCGACACCCGGCTGTGATGGCACGGGTCATGTGACAGGCCTGTACCCCCACCATCGCAGCCTGTCTGGTTGTCCCCACAAAGACAGGGTGCCACCAGAAAGTAAGTATATCAGTCACACATCCGTCAAACGCTGCTATATTAAACCCGATATCTGCCATCGTTGTCCTTTGATGTTGAGGAATTTGCATGATCGCTGCTGTCCCTCGTTCTTTGTGGCATGCACTCTTGCTGTCAGGGGTCAGATAGGTTGCAGCTGCGCTTGTGATCTTTTGCACAGGGTCGTGATTTTGCTTTCTGACTGTCTGTTTAGTATGTTGTGTTGATGAGGTATGAAATGAGGCCTTGGTAATGAATGCAGCACTTGGCAGGATGGTCAGGAGCTGTCAGTTATGGACTTATTTGACTGCATGTTGTAGCTACATTGACTGACAGTGATGGACGGAATATCATAATCTAATTCAAGCTGTTTTTTATTGTAAAATGGATCGCTGTGGATGGGTTGCATGCTCTTTCACAGCATGTCACTGCATGCATGTATGAATGACAAAGGTCAAAGGCCTCATTTTTCATGAATTTGTGCACCTTTTTTACTTTTAACAGCCATGCTTTTTATTTTTAAGAAACTTAAAAATGCTCACAGACCTTGATAGCACTGAGAGTGCTTCAGTCATCCATGGCATAAGCCCCATTCATTTATTTGTAAGCCTTGCTCAATTAAATTCTGTTGAATGGAAAGGCATTCTCATATCTGTAAGCCACAGGTCGAGAGGTGGCAATAATCATTAGCCTTGAATGAAAAATGAGTTTTCCCTTTAGAGAATTCAGACCAGCTATTCAGTCTCGTTCACCCCGCGCAAACTCATCTTGTTTACATTTTTCATTAACTGCAGTTTGAAAATCAAGTTATGATCTGCTGTGGCCCAGACACCAGTCAAATTAAAATTCATATTTGACAAAAAAAAAAAAAAAATGTGCCCATTAAAAAGCAGAAGCAGGATCCCAGTTTGGTCTTGTTCAGAGGAGTGTCGTCCATACAGAGGCTCATAGCCTGATATGAACTTGTCTTGGGAGAAATTTCAAAATGACTCTGTCCAGGATTAAGATCCTAAATGGAACCTGGGAAGTTTTTGTATTGATTGTTACTGGAGATTGTTTGGAACATGATATTCCTCATTTGTGTCAGACTGGCGTTCAGGGGATGAGATGCTTATCAGAATAATCACAAAAAGTGGCATCATCTTCAGTTCTTCTCCTCCTAAAACAAAAAGATAATTATGACGGAGGTGCACAGTTACAAATTCTGAGCATTTAGCCATCATGAGTCCAGTGGTAGGAAAATAGGAGAATAAGTCACATACTGTATGTGAATGCCTGCAGGATAGGTTCTAAAGCTTCCCTCTCGTTTTCCCACATTTGCTGCACCGAATGGACAATGTTTTATTAATGCAGTGACTTTATGTAATTGGAAAACCACACAGTGCAGCCCGATCATTCTGGTGAAAAATTACAAAAAAATTAGGTCTGTTTCTTTTTTTTTTCCCATTTCCTTTTTGCTCAGTTACTTTTTTTATATAGAGAGAAATGATGAATATGATCAATTTCAAACTAGGGACTATTTGATTCTGTTTTTAAATTGTGCACAAATGAAATATAAAAGGTGGAAGAAGAAAAAGCATTACATAGTACATACAGTATCATGACAAAATAGAACATTACCTGTTTTATTTTGCAAAATGTTCAATTGGATATTTTTTTTACAGAAATGAAATGCGAAACCAGAAATACAGAAAGAATCTGTAACCCGAACCGTACCTAGTAGTACAAAAACACCTTAATTTTGTCATGTTCAGATCTAGTTGTAATCTGGTTGCAAAAATATAGTAAACTTATGTTGTTTTATTTAATTTTATATATTTTTTGTTAGTTTGTTTTAAATGTAAATGCCAGCCTATATATATATTTTTTTTAATAAAATGACCAAAATATGAACGTTCTAAAAGTCTAATATCAAATAAACAAGGCAAGAATCTTAAATCCTAAACCACCACATTTATTACATCATCCACATTTAATTCTATCATACAGCAATAGGGATAAAACATGACTTAATGTTTGCCAATTTGACTTCCTGTGATGAAATACATCAGTCTACCCTTTAATCATGCTGCCCTGCTTCGATTTTAAATAGTCTCAAAATATCTTCGAAAAAATCTAGAATGTTGGAATGAAGACATTTAAACGGTTCTATCATTTTGTTCCTTATTCATTAAGTTAGTTTGTGGCCACCGAGTTGAGCTTTAATTCTGAGCTGTCCCTTAACAGAAGGCCAAACCAAACCAGGATATGCATAATGTATTGGCTTGTGGCATGTTGAAGTGGGTGGGGGAACTTTGTCCAATTACCTGCACCGAAGACCAATTAGTATGTAGGGAAAGGAGGATGATGAGGGGTGAAAGTTTAAGGGGGTGATAATGATGAAGCTGATGCCGATGGGGTTTCGCCCCGCACGCCACCGGTATCGAGACAACTCCTCCTCTCTCTTCCCCCCCACGCCTGCTGCGCTCTGACGGCTCCTCTCGGACATCCATAGATCATTAATCTAATTGGCTGGTTGCCGAGGGGATCTGAGACTGTTATGGACTGTTTTAATGGTAAACGGTATTGAAGAATGCACTCTCTGCCCTAACATTGCACGGATGATAACAAAGCGCACTCTATCAAGGAGCTGTCTTCTATCTGTCTGCTTCCACCATTGATTTTTAAGGCTCAGAGTTTTGCATGAACGCAAGTTGTTTTTGCATGCCCAAAATTTCCTTCTATTCCTGACGCTTGTCCTGTCAAACTTAAATGACATCTTTTTATTCATGAATGTCCCCATTCTATGAATACTAATTTGAAAGAGCAGGATAAGTGGAAGCAATATGGTGGGAAACCTTGTCTGCCCTTTCAAACTAGTGTTCATTAAAATGAAAAAGAGGTCATTTGGGTTCATTTCTTAATGATGTTTATAATGCCAGGTTCCTCACACACTAATAGAGCTCATGGGTGATTGTAAAGGGCTCCTAACCTTCCCTGTCTTTCACTCCTATTTCCTGTCTGTGCGAAGTTGTGGCAATGTATGAGAATGTTCTTAAGTGTCCTACACCTGGCTGCACGGGACGCGGCCATGTCAATAGCAACAGAAACTCTCACAGAAGGTAAGAGCTCAGCAACTGTGAAGCTTGTTTTTTTTTCTCCTCATCAATTTGTCCATTTTAATTTATTTTTTTACTGTGGGATTATTTTTGCTCAGCCTTTGTGAGGTATTTTTCATCATCACCAATTTTTATTCTTTTTATTTTTTGTGTGTGTGTGATTGTAATTAAACCCCTTCCTTTCCCAATATATTTTTTTTTCTGTGTTTTGATGCTGGAAATTATCAAAGCACTTCAGCTTTTCACAATCAAATCGTTTAACCAAGACTGATTAGAATGCAGCAAGTCACACTTTCCAACGCATAAATCATTCATCAGCTCAAGGCAAGAAATGGCATCTATCAGGTGCAGGTTTGGCGGTAGGAACTGAAATAGCTGCTTGGCACTGCTGTCAGACAGGGTGAGGTGACAGTGAAAAAAAAGAGTGTCACCCATAGCAGATGCTCAGGGATTCAGGCATAGCAGCAGCCATTAGCACCTTGCTGCCACTCAGCCGGGGTGACAGGAGAGGTGCAGACCTAGGAGAACCAGAACGAACGGCTCTGTGCCGCGCTCGATGACAAACTGCAGCGCCAAGCAGGCACGCACAGTAAACTTTCACTTCTACAAGAAAGAGCTATCCAGCCCTCCGCATACAACTTCACACTTTTCCACATTCTTATCCGAGCACATGCTCATCATGGCAGGTGCTCTTGAACACAAATGGCTGCAGGCCACTGTCAAAAAGCATTCATTTCACACGCAACGCTCGACAGATTGGATGGAGAATAATAGAGGTTAAAGATAGTGACATGAACTTTTCTCACATTTGGTCAGTCAGTTGTCAATAAAAAACAAAATCATCCTAAAACAGGCTATAAATATGCTGAACCCATTAATCAAGCACAACAGTACATCCTGTTGGTTACAACATAAATAACCACAACTGAAAAAATCTTGCACATGACAAAGCTTTGCTAGTAGCTTGTGTTTGCACCTATAGGTGGCATCAAACATCTGAAAAAGAGTTGATTGTTCCAACTGTTACCTTGGTGCAATACATTAGCCAATATAGGTCTTGCAATGTGCAATACTTTTCTGTTTTTGTTGCAGAAAATGTGTGCAAAAGTCATAAGAAATACAAGAAACTGACTTTCAACATCTTCACAATGAATTTGGAGAATATCAACCAAAACCAAAAAATAGCCAAGAGTCTAAAGAAAAACTTTAAAATACCTTTAGAAAGTCTGGAAAACTATAGAGTGCATTGTACATATTCAACTTTGGCAGTAAATGCATCTTCTTGGAGTTTTTGTCTCTTGAATGAAGATCTACAGAAAAGTACAAGTTTTAATTTTAGCAACTTTTCTGAAAATGAGGTGTATATACTCCAAGAACATGTGTGTGTACGTGTCCTGTCAGCTAGCTGGTGTTTGAACGAAACAAGCCGTGGAATGCACATAAAACATCCACATTTGTCCATATGGGAATATCTATTCTGAGAATTATTTTAGGCTGCTCAACCAGAAACATGCAAGCTGTTGCCAACTGTGTTGTTAACCAAAGTGTTAAAAGTGATGAAAATTAATGAGTTTGCATTTTGAGCTGAGATTTTCTGAACTGCAGTCAGGTGCTTTCAGACTGACTGACAGGCAGATGTACAGTAGCTGTTTTCAGCCCGCAAACTGGATGACAAGCGCTGTAACAAGCCAAAATTTTCCAGCATGTGCACTGAGTGTAAAATTTCTACATATAAAATGTGTTCAGCTGCTTCACTTAATTAGCTTTTTTTTTTTCCTCAGTCTATCAGGATGTCCAATCGCTGCAGCAGAGAAGCTGGCAAAAGCCCAGGAGAAGCATCAGAGCTGCACTGGCCCGAAGTCTAACCAGGCATCTGACAGAGTCTTAAGGTAGGATTCACTCAACACGTTTATTGTATAATGACATTCAAGAATGTTATGAAATATGCTTTGACAAGATGCACTGATTTAAATAGTAAAATACTCCTGTCATGTGGGATGTTTTTATGTTTTCCTCTTACATTCTATAATTGAGACGGCATCGCCCCTTTTTTGTTGCATGTGTACGTTTTGTCATCCCCTGAGATTTCATCTGAGAGACATCATGTGCATCTCTGTGCTCAATGAAGGCAAATCACTTTAGATTATAACAAAATGGGCCTCATTCATTACCACGGACATGTGCTTTCACTGAGAGTTTCTTTGATGGACATGAAAATGCTGTGATTTAAAAAAAAAAAGTCATAACTGTGAATTTTATATCCAAATCAAACAGAATATCAGCAGCAGTGTTCTTACAAGAGTTAAACTGAGCTTGTTAATGTGTTTCTAATGATAAAAGCACATGAAAACAAAAGAAATAAAAGAAGTATAAATTCAATGTGATCTTTTTTATTGCCTACAAAGCAGAAAAGTTTAATTTTATGGCACGAGAAAGCAAAGTCCTGCACCTTCAGTAACATTTCCATTTTCCTTTACCCTCATCCATGCTCTAATTCTGTAGTTTACGCCTTCCCTTCTTCCCTCCATTCCACACATTTTTAACCAATCCCCAAGTTTCTTCTCCCCCTGGGCAATGTTCAGTGCCTCGGTCCAACTTCCACCCCCTCGTCATTTATTTTCCAGGCCTATGTGCTTTGTCAAACAACTGGACTATCCACAGTATGGTTACAAGAACAATGTTTCCACCAGCACGCCCCGCTCTAACCTGGCCAAGGAACTGGAGAAGTACTCCAAGACCAGCTTCGACTACAGCGCTTTTGATGGCAGCAACAACCACCAGGTGTATGGGAAGAGGGCCATTGCACCCAAAGTTCACGGGCAAAGGGACGCCTCTCCAAAAGACTATGATGGTATTACAGAGACACTATACATTTAGACATTGCTATTGTATCTCAATTCTTTTACATTTAAGACAAGTTTAGTTAGTTCTAATTCTTAAAGTTTTTTTTTTGTTCGTATTTGTTACTGTATTTTAGACTAGACTGTCAGCAAATGAACTTTAAAAATAAGCAGACACTCCTAATATGCGTTTCCTTGGTTTGCCTCCTGCAGCCAAACGATACTGCAAGAACTCCAGCTCGGCCAGCAGCACCACCAGCACCTACGCCCCCAGCAGCAGCAACAGCAGCCTGAGCTGTGGAGGTGGTGGAGGGGGCGCGGGAGGAGGCGGAGGTGGTGGGGGCAGCAGCGCCAGCAGCACATGCAGCAAGAGCAGCTTCGACTACAGTCACGACATGGAGGCCGCCCACATGGCGGCAACCGCCATCCTCAACCTCTCCACGCGCTGCAGGGAGATGCCCCTCGGGATGGGAGGGAAGCCCCAGGACCTGTGCTCACAGGTAGGGATAGGGAAAAGATGGGGAAGACCTAACTTACTTGTATGGACATGTTTTAGATACTATTTTTCATTTTAATAGCCAAAGTATAAATCTAAATCAACAAAATGGAGAAGAAGGTTCATTTTTTTAGAGGTGGAACCATCCCCACTGCAGAATTCTTGTTCCCGTACTAAAGTCATTATTGTTTTGGGTCCTTGTGATTTTGATTTGTGTATGGTTTCACTGTTCTCATCATTTGATTCTCGTGTTATTTCTGATAACCTTAATTTGCACTTTGACTTCCTTCAGGGCCTGCATTTTTGTCTAAATCATGTTTTTAACAGCAACTAACTTTGTATTTAATATTATTATAAAACAAGAGTATTTTGAAACCTCACGATGATGAATCAGAATCAACTTTATTGTCATTGCACCTTTAAGTACAGCAAAACTGCTTTCCGTACAGCCGTCTGAAGGGTAGACGGAAGTGTTTCAGGGCTGCATCTTCTATGAAGAGCTGCCCTTATCGCTTAGATAAGAAAAGGGGAAGAAAACATGAGGAGAGAATGTATCAAAAAAGAAGATCTCTCACACCGTGTCCTTGGACACATGGCATAGTGTAAGGCAGCAAAAAAAATCTACCTCAGCACAAAAAAAAAAAACATACAGATAGACATAATACATTTTGAGGGGGGCGTGGGATGACAATACAGTGAGATTGTCCATGAACACTTCCAGATAGTTTCCATAGTCCTGATAAAGGATGTTACAGTGTCTATCAGCCGGTACAACTCTGATAGAGTCCATAGATGCTCTTGGGGGCTGGGGTGGGGGGTGAGTAGGAGCAGAGCTTCTTGATTTACGTATCTACCAGGAGTAATTTGAGATAAGTTGGCCTATCCAAGGCCAAGCGGGGAGGCCTGATTCAGATAAACAACAACTCTTTTGGGCAGGCCAACTCTACTGATAATGTCTGCCTTCAGTTCTGCTGGTACACTCAATGGTGAATCTAAACAGCAAGATTTGTGGACATTCCTCTGGTCCGTGCTTGTTAGCCTTCTCCAAAATCAATTCCTTCATGTTGGCGAGTTCTAGGAGCTGCAAGTGGCCTATGATTCTCAGAAATCACATCCAGCTTACGGTTCAACTCGCAAAGTGTATGAGTCTGAGAACTCGAAGCACGATTTAATCCTTCACATAAGGCAGACAGCTTCACCATTGCCAAAACTGCTGCTGACATCTTCCTAATTTGTCAATATCCTAGGTATTTGCCAAGTCCAAAAAAGCAGAAACCTTGTTATCAGAAATCCAATTATGTATTCATCTTCTATATCCTCAACGGACAATGCAGACAGGAACATCATCTTTCATTCACCCCAGGAATCCATGACATATCCAGCTACGTGTGTCCCTTTAGGGCATGAGGGTTCTCCTGCACCCTGTCTCCTTGTCGATAAAATGTTATCAATTGCGTTGAGAGACCAGCTGACCAGATCTGTAATTTATGATTCGGAAGATGTGTAAAGAGAGGCTCTGATACAAAGGACAAACAGCAAAAGCAGGGGGAAGGCAGGAGAGGGAAGAAGAGCGACCATCTTCATCGAGCGCAAGTCAGAAAAAAAACATTATCACGTTAGGATTTTGGCACATTAACTCATAAAGCTTATTGGTCCTGGTTGCCCTGAAGGAATCTTCCTGTTCAACTGAAGTCCTTTTGTCCACGCTCAAAATGGGAGATTGAATCAAAGAGGAAAACTGATGCAAACTGACTTTCTCAGCCAGAGAACATTTTACAATTTGGCATTTCAGAAACAGAAGTTCTCGTGAGTCTAACTGTATTGTAATTTATAATTATTGCTCAAACTGGAGCATGCTGAATTGGAACCGATTGTACTGACCTGGGCTGTATGTAAATGGGTTTAAAACAAAATTATTGATATTGTTTTTTTGAATAGCAGATAAATTTGCACGTTATAGACAAACTGAATTGAACTGAACTACCTTATTTGGCACAGCAGCCTGCAAACAAAGGGCTGATGAATATAGCTCAACTAAAAGACAATACCCTCCTGCAGTAGGCAAAAAAATCCACAGACAGATTATTTTTCTCCCTTCATTATACTAATGCTGGCAGTGAAAACTGACAAAGATAAGGAGATTACAGATGTGCATAACAGTACTGACATGCACACATTTCCTGACCGATCCAGAGCTGTGTCTAACACTTGGGGCACTTTCTTTATTTTCTGTCTGGAAATCAGATAGGAGCAGGACGAAGCGCCGTATGACACGGCGTGAGTCCAGTGTGTCACTTCTGAGGAGATAAGGTGACAGTGCTTCTGTATTATCTGCGGCCAGATGCTAAGCCGGTAAATGGAGGCCAGAGAAAGAGCGCACAGCGGAGGTGTAATGTTGGCTTAATGCTCATGTTGACAGAGGAGACTGCAGAAGAATCAGAGCAAGAGGGTGGTGAGACTCTGAATATAGAATGAAAAAGAGAAAAGAGGTTTTAAAATGCCACAGCAAAGAAGGAGAAGAATGTATATGTGCACATACATACATATGTATGTACTAAAGTATATAAAGTACTAATAAAAACAAGAGAGGAATAGAGAGAAGGAAAAAAATAACTTATTCAACAGAAAAGTGGGGCAGAATAAACTCAGTGGGACAACCTCCTGGAGCATTCACTCTGGTTTCACCTCATTTCATTGTCTGTCTTGCTTCCCATCCCCTGCTGCTGTGGGACAAGATGAGCAAGAAGCTCTCAGGACAAGAGGACGAGAGACGTCAGAGGATTCTTCTTTTTTTTTTTCTTCCCTCCCTTTCATCTCAACACTTCACTTCATGGCTCGTGGTGTTTTTGTCTGAGGCTTCATATATATATTCTCACCACCTTGTGTTTTTCACTTCATCCGTCCACCTGTTTTTATCTTCCACGTTCATTTCACATTAATTTATTGGTTGCTGGCCTGAATGAAAGACTGAAATGTGCTGTATTTTATCCAGGACCATAGTTTCTGTAGGAACCTTTGTCACTGGTGACCTTTCAGTGCAATGCTTCTTGGGACTCATTGTCCTGCATGTTTTAGATGTTTCCCTGCTCCAAAACACTTGAATGAAAATAAAATAAAGACCTCAACATCTTGCCATTGAGTTCTGTAGATGTGTGTGTGACTCATAAGTTTAAACCAGGTGTGGGTGTTGCTGGCAAACATTTAAAACTTGCTGTTTGAATCCAGAGAAACACTTCTTTAAAGGAAATTTAAAAAATAGACATGCTTTTCCAATAACATAAAATCTATATGAAAATTATGTGACTGAATTGTGATTTTTTTATTAAGTTTTTCCTTTAATTTTGGCACATCTTTCTCATTAATGGAGTAAATAGATAAATACTGAGTGGATTCACTGACCATTGTTATCTAAATGTGTAAGGGTTGGCAGTAGTGACTATTTATTGCTTAAAGGAGATTTATTATTGATTAAAAAAAATTGAGAGAATAACAAAAATCCTGCTCACCAGACCAGTTTAGTCAACAAACCTTAGATTTTTTGAAAAGCAAAGATCAGACTCAAGGAGTTAACAAGTTAAAACATTTGACTAATAAACAAAAATACACAAAAATGATCATTTAAAGCAAGAACAATTAAGAGAAATTGGACGTTCATGGTTGGGCAACTGAACTTGTTAAGACACACAAAGCAAAACTCCAACAGGTCAAATGAAGTATCTAAACATTAGAAATGTTTTCCATATGACAGAAATATTGTTCATACATCCATTATCTATACCTGTGTCTTCCTTTTTGTGTAAGAGGCAGAGGACACACTGGACAGGTCACCAGTCCATCACAGGGACTCATAGAGACAAAAAATCATTCACTTTCTCACTCTCACCTAGGGACAATTCAGAGTTACCAGTCAGTCTAACATGCATGCTTTTGGTCTGTGGGAGGAAACTGGTGTACCCGGAGAAAACCCACACATGCACGGAGAGAACATGCAAACTCCACTCAGACTCCTCCCCAGCCAGGATTTAAGATGGTAACCTTCTCGCTGAGAGGTGGTAGCTGTACCAACTGCGCCACCATGCCGCCCCAGTTTTATATTCATTCTACAGAAAAAAAAGGTTTCATTTTGAATGGAAAATGCTCACATTCTGTGCATGTTTATGCATTTCTGAGACCAAATCTGCCAAACTGTGACAATAATAGAAGTAGTACAACAGTATATACAATTAAATTAAAGGACATAAAGAGAAAATGTATAATTTTGTTGGATTTTTCTTAATGTGCATAAAGTAGCGCTGAAAGTTAGCAGGTGATCTCTTACATTTGGGTCCTTTCCGACCATGCATTACCATGACAACGGGGATCAGGGGCCAGTTTAAGAAGAGGTGGTCTGTAATGTGGAAGAGAGGGGACCTCATATATAATCTTTGCTAATTTGGTGTAAAGGAGTAATCTACTTTTTTAAACACAGCTAAAGTTTTTTTTTTTTTTTACGTAACAAGGAATAGGGGACACCCACAAGAACAAGATCAGTCCAAGCTGCACACAATGAGGCGAGTGCTGCTGGGTCTCTGCAGCAACATGACCTTTATTCAACACAGTTTCTTTTTCTCATGGTCTTTTACTCATTTTCTGCTTGTCCTCTGTGTCAATCTCCCTCATTTCCAAGCTCGAGTGTCATTACTTGCCGAATAGCTCTGCAGAATTTTGCAAGCCTAATTTGGTATTAATCGCATAATGAGCAGTCTTTGTTTTAGGCACCCTGCATTCCTGTTCTTGTTTGCATGCTTTCCAACTTTTTAAATAGCCCTGTATTAGTCATAAATTGTATCAGTAGTACTTTATTATTTATTCCATATACTGTATTTTTATTTTTTGTTGTTGTTATTGTTTGCTTATTTTTCTGTAATTCTTAAAAAAAAAAAAAAACCTGGGGCTGCATAGTTGTGGCTGTTTCTACGTCCAGTTCTAAATTTTATCACCCTGTGTGTTTGAGTCATGGTGTGTCACAGAGGTTTTGGCTTCAAACACCAGGAGAATCCTCCCTAGGGCCTCTGTCAGCTGGAATCAGAATTAAAGTGGGCTTTCCCACTCATAAAAACAGAGAAAAGGCAGTGAGCTAAACACTAAAGGGAGGGCAGGGAAGATGAACAGGAGTCAAAGGTATAGAGAGAGCACACAAACACACACAAACAAACAATACTAACCTTAGAGAGAGTTTCCCCATTAGTACAGCTGAGTAGTAAGTATCTTACATGAAGTAGACGGCAGTTAGATCAATCTCAGTTTGGAGAGTCAAGGAGAAAGCATTCTTAAATTCACAGTAAGCTAACAGCTGCTTAAAACAGGGACACAAGAAGAGTACATTTCTATAAAAATAACTCAAATTCAAACTCAATTTATTTAGCTGTTTTTTTTTTCATTCAGCCTTTATTTAGACAGGTAAATCCCATTGAGCCTCGAGGACTCATTTACAAGAGAGACCTGATTTTGCAAACTCTTTTGTAACACTTTCATACTCCATTATGTTTGTATGAGTTGAGTATAGTTGTTTACGTTTTTTATTATCACTCTTCCTAAAAAACATGGCTGGGTTTCTGCAGGTTACACTTTGCAGCCTTTTTGTCCAAAGTTGCATTTAACAACACATAAGATGTTTGAGAAAAAATTGGATTAGATGCAAAAAGACAACATAGAAACTACTAAATTCATTTTGATTTTAAGTTGTTTTAAATGGCCTAAATTTACTATATAAATATTTTTTAATTTATTTAATTGGTCTCATTCTGAATAGATGTTAACTTGACTCTCCCATGAGAAATTTGTACCCAATTCTCCCAATTGATATTGTTCAGACTGCTGTTTGCTACAGGAAAGTTACTGACTGCTGCTTTTTCATTCAACCTTTATTTATTCAGGTTATTCTCATTGAGTCTCGTGGACTCATTTACAAGAGGGACCTGTTTTTTTTAACAAATAATGATGACAACAGTAGAAGACAAAGACAACAATAGACAACCATAAAAGAAAGCAAGTGAATTGAGAAAAATAAATTAAAGAAAAATTAAAGAAAATTGTATTAAACAAATAAAACAAAAAACAGCTAGATTGTAAAGTGATGCAGAATTCTAGAAAACTAAAAACAGGAACATGTCTGCATTGGTTTTTGCCATGAACTTAGCAGATGTTTGAAACCACTTAGGGAGAGCAAGGTTGAGAGCTTCAGATCTTTTTGCAAGATATTTCATGAAACAGGAGAGGAGTAGGAGAAGGCCCTTTGCCTAGTTCAGTCCTCACTAAGGGAACACTGCATGTAATTATGTCCTGAGAGCGCACGCTGTAACTGCACTCATGCAGAGACATGTAGGAGGAGATGTATGAAGGCAACAGACCAAGAAGTGATTTAAAGATGAAAATGTACCAATGAGAGAGTCTGCATGAAGTTAATGATGTCCAGTTAACCAGTGAATACAGGGTGCAGTGATGGGTATGGTAGTTTCAAGTTATGAATCTTATAGCATTGTGATAGACAGCGTCCAACATCTGCAAGGTGCGTGTAGGAGTGTTTATGTAAACACTGACTGCTGCTATGCTACACAATCCAATTACCAAATCTGTCTAATTTGCAAAAATATTTGTACAAGTACCTTTATAGGAAAAAGAATGTTAACGACTGAAAAATAAAGTTGGGATGCAGAATAAATGCTTTAGTGAACAGCCAGTCATGTGGATGTGGCCCATTTTGCTCTACAGCGCTGTAGACTTTTGCCTCTATTTATGGGTTTGCAGCAGTGTAGCTCCAGCTACTGCTGCTCATCACTGCTCCCAACCCCACCCCTAACCTTCATCCTTTGCACCCCTTGTGATGTCCACTCGCATTAGGTTCACACACCCAGCACCAAGCCACACACACAAACATACACACACACACATGTATACAGAGACCATAGAGCCATGGAAGGAAAGAGAAAGAGAGAGACTGAGAGAAAGGCTTTGTAGAGGGATGCACTCGTCCTTGAGAACTGATGAACCTCCTCTTCCTTTGACCCTCTTAGGAGCAAACATTGTTACCCTACACTGCAAGCATTGATGCTTCTTCCGAGATAGATTTGAACCCAAAAAAAAAGGATACAACATTGCTTTAGCTATTTAAACTGCAGATGCTCTTGACCTTTCTTTACATATGCCTAAAAAGTTCAATCATATAAGCCCTTTTTATTTACTTTGATATATGCCATGCATTTATGTCCATCTGATGATGGACATGTCTGACTGCTATTTAATCAGAACTTCTCTGTCTTTTATTTCTTTCTCTTCACCCCTACTTTCTTTTGTTCTGCTTTATCCCTCTATTCTTCCTCATACTCATCTGACGGCTTCCACATCTTCTCCACTTCACTCACACGCACACAAACGCCACACCAACACTCACCTTCCAGAGTCCCGGTCTAGATGTTGATGAGAATGGTACGTTGGACCTGAGTATGAGCAAGAGTCTGTGCGTCGGAGGTGCAGGGGACTCTGTGCTCACCCCACTAGAACCCATGTCCCCCCAGAGACAAGCCGCCCTGCTTGGCTCCCGCTGCTATGGCATGGGGGACGCCGCAGACTGCTGGGACCTGCCTGTAGACTACACCAAGATCAAACACATAGACGAGGACGAGAAAGAGGTAAAGAGAAAATTCACAAGGACGTTTTTTTTGGGATTCTTAGTCAGTCACTGCTGTAAGTATGTGGCCACAGTGCTGAGAAATTAACTGAGTGGCTTTAAAGCATTGCTGAATGTGGGTACAAATCATTTGATGGTGATAAACCCGTAAGACTCCTCTCCTCTTTGCCTCATTACACTCCATAACAAATTCATTATCTCTTCAAAAACCTTTGTGACAGTGCAAGGAGAGAGAACTGATAAAAAGCAATGGGGAGAGGAATAGGAGAGGTTACAAACAGCAAACAGTCTTGGCGTTGATGATAATTATACGGCAGCAGTTTCTGTTTTGGAGACTGATGGAATACCATGCTTGTTCAAAGTGTTATCTCCCTCCTGCCATTGATTCAACACAGTGTCTTCAAGTCAAATATTAACATTATCTTTTGGGGTTTCTACCTTTTGGTCTGACTCACTTTTATTGTTGGAATCATTATAAAGTCATGGTGGGGATTTTTAAGGGAAAACCTAATGAATCTGCATAACTGATGTCAGCGATGCCATGCGTAGAGCTACCAGCTCTGTTTGCACCATGCTCTCTGCATGCCGGCTTTCTGTTTTTTTACTTTTTGCTCTTTGCTAAAATGAATTATGCAAAGTAGCACCTTGGGAGGGGATCGGAATAGCTCATCTCATCAAAGAACCGCTGGAAATCAATGCACCACTGCTGGGTGCGCCTGTCGGAGTGCACAGGCGCATGCATGTATAGCGCATGTGCCTCTTTTCCTGTGTGAATATTCATAAGAGTGTGTCTGTACCCACGTCTCTTTGGGAGGGTGTCTGCTTGTGTTTGTGAGTCCCCAGCTCTAGCCTACTTTCTGCTCTGCATTTCTGTACGCATGCACGTGTCGATCCCCTTCCAGCTTGCCGCTAATTGGGAAACTTGCTGGCAGCATCAAACAGTCTGAGACAGCTGGGTAATTTGGGCTGTATCTGGACTTTTCCCTTTATGGGCATTACTGTACACACACTGTAAAGCATGGAAGAAAGGGGAAAAGGATTTGCATCTACTGTTGTCGTGCCCTGGCTGCATGCACTGCAGACAAAGCACAACCCCTCACAGCCCAAACAACAGCGGTCTGACACCACACCACAGTGCCATCTAGTGACTAATTGCTTCATTACAAAAGGCAACTCCCTGAATGCTCCATACCTCCACACTAACCCTGTGAACATGTATGAAGCCACCTGCGAGCCTCCACACATCACTCATTCGGCATTATTTCCTCTCGGGTGTTCCATTTTCTAGCTCTGTTAGACCGAAAGACTGACTGGCTCAATAGTCACACTGGCTCACCCATTTGCATTCAAATTGACAAGTCTCTGTAGCCTGACTGCACATACAGTGTATGCGTGTGTGGGAATGTAGACAAAGAGGTAAGGAAGGTGACAGGAATAGACTCGCTCGTGCCAGTCTTATAAACCTTCAGATTGTGACGTGCATGCAAATCTGGTTTTGTGGTAAACATTATTAAAAACCCTTCACTTTCTTTCTCCCACCCTTTATTTCTCCCTCCTCTCTTCAGCCTGATGACCTGGATCCTTTCCATGACCTGCTGGAGGATCGCTACACAGATGTTAGCATGCCCAGCCCCAAGCCCAAGTATGTCCAGTGCAAGGAGAGTAAAAAGGACCTGATAACGTAAGAACCCCCATTCTCTTCCCACCAGCCTGCTTTGTCCCACTCATGCTTAGCTTAATTTCTTCCTTCATCCCTTTCTTCAGTTGACCTCCGTGAACCACCTCCCAGACACCCCCCCCCCCCCCATCCCTCCTGTGCTGCTGGCTTGGCTTGCTATGTGACTCTTATTTAACAGCTATCTGTACAAAACAATTCAGGCTGTCAGTGTCATTCCATATCGAGTGTAGCTGATCCCAAGAATCACAGTATAAATCACAGACAGTGAAGCTAAACTGGAAACAATGAAAACCAATAATGGAAAAAAAATCCCTGCCTCCCTTTCTTTATGTAATTTTTTACATTCTCTTCTCATTCCCTTTGGGCTTATAAATCTGTCTATTTTTCCGGTGGCAGATGTCCCACACCGGGGTGTGATGGAAGTGGTCACTTGACGAGCAATTTCGCCTCACATCGAAGGTGTGACTTCCTTTTCTCCTGGTGGATTCTGAGTCTATTTTACTTTATTGTTTTCAGCTTACCTCAACGATGCTGTCAAACATCCATAGGCAGGGTGTCTCTCCTCTCCATTAGCCCTTTGATTATTGGTATGCAGAAGCACGGAAAAGGAGAAAATTAATTAGAGACTGGATACATGCTGATTTGCAGCTGAACTCCTGGATAAAGTTATTTCTCAGTGGGCCGTTTGTAAAGCCTTCTAAGCTGATGTTATTCAGTCCTCCAGGCCTTTCTCAAAGTCCAGTGCAGACTGTGCAGTTCCCATTCAAAGCAAGAAATTTTTAGCTGAGTTGCTGAGTGCTGCAGTATGATTTGAGTCTGCCAGGATCATACAATGTCAGATGCAGCTACTTGAGACTTCCTGTGAAAAATCTCTCAATTCCAACGAAGTTTTGAGGTGAAAAAATTCACTCAATACAGATGCATTAATGGCTTTTGTGTCATTACTTTTAGATACTCAGAGGGTTTACCTTTTTTTAATCAACTTTGTGCACTTGCATCATGGCTTTCCTGCATTTTCTGTTTTTTTTTGTTGTTGTTTTTTTTTTATGCATGTGTTTGAAATGTCCATGTTAGAGTGACTGGATTGTATTTCTTAAATTTGCATTGTTGTGTTGGTGGGGCTAATGCTAGGCTGATGTATTTTTCAGTCTCTCAGGTTGTCCTTTAGCAGACAAAAGCATTCGAAGTATGCTGGCCAACAACGCACAAGAGCTCAAGTAAGGTTTTTAAAAGACTAACGGAATGTGTTTGATTTGTTTGAGCTCCTCAATTTTTGCAATATTACTGTGCAAAAAAAGTGTCTTCATGAAATCAGAGACAAGTTTAAACATGAACTCATTGAGCTATATTTTATTGCACGGATTAAATATTTTCAAGGCAATTTTCTTCTTGTTTTATTTTAATAATCTTAAAATCAAACAAATCAACTGAAACCAGCAATGACAATGATGTTATGTTGTTTTACTGATAATGCAGCTCCAATGTTGTTAAAAAAATAACGTTTTTTTTTCCTTCATACCCGGAAACACACTTAGTTTATTTTGTCTCAGTCCCTCATTCACTGCCCTGCTGCCCTAAATACTGATTAGAGCACAAAATAAATATAAATCAGTCGCTAAAAATATTCCCTCACAGATGGACCATTTTCTTTCTTCTTGGAAAAGTTAAACTAAAAGTACAGATGTGAAGAAGTAAGACACACTAACAGACTTTTGATTATGGGATTTCAAAGGATTTTACAACTTTATCTCTAAATATTCTATTAATAAATTTAGCACTACTCTAAATTAACCACCCATAACACATGTTTTGAGGGTGATGGCCAAGTCTCAAACACAACTCCAGATGTCATGTTATGCATTTGTAATGTATTAATTTCACTCAGTATATTATGAATGTGTTTGTGCAAGTAAAAAAAATATGCAGTCAAGGTCAAATGGCGTCATATAATAAACACACAAATAAAAAAACAGCCCTGAACTGCCTGCCATGGCTCCATTGCTGTCCTGCCTTGTCCTCCCTTCTTTAATGACATCACCATGTAATTTTATTGAATTATGGCCAATGGTAGACCAATTTGTTTAAACGTGCAAAAAGTTCATATGAATAATGTGCTGTGCTTCTTACAGAGAAGAGCTAATGCAAAGTACTCTATGTACAAAGTATCAAAATATGTTTTATCAACATACAATGTGTCAAGAAAAGATGTGGCATACTACAATAATAAAGCATTAAAATAAATTATAGTCAATCCAAAAATAAACTTACAAATCTGTAATTGAACATAATATGGATCCTTTAATTTGTATCTTTTATGTTGAAACAGGCCAGGTCGACTCTATCATGGGTTTATTTTTGAGAGGAAATATTGAAGTAAACGTGAAATTAAAGTACTGAAATTATCATTTCTTGATGCTAAAGTTGTATTTCAAGATTTTATGTGATCTGTTAGCACTCAGAGTATATTTTGGAGTTTTCTCTCAGCTATTACCACACCACAGTTTAGCTCAATGTGTAAAATTATAGCCATTTATCCAACAATTTTCAGTCAGGTCATCTGGACAGTTTACTTTCCTGACTGAAAATTGTTGGATTGTATACCTGGATTATTGAGCATGGACTTTTTTGGTTTTGAACCAGTTTGACATGACTATCGATGAGGAAGAGGGCCTGCATCGAAAGAGGGGGCGTGCCAAAGACACCATCTTAGCACCAGCATAACTGGTTTGTTCCACTTTGGAGTAAGCTGTTTGGGGGAAGAAACAGTTTTGTTTTGTGTGTTTCCTTGACTGATGAAGCCTTCTGGATGGAAGGTGAAACGTTTCAGCAAAAAAAGAAACTGTCCAGATGACCTGACTGAAAATTGTTGGCTTTTATACCTGGATTATTGAGCATGGAATTTTTGGTATAGCCATTTATGTGGATACTCAGGTTGATCAGCTCTGGCGACCCTCTTCAATACGATTTACTCTAAATGTTAATCAGGTGTACAGTAAATGGTAAATAACGCACAAAAAGTGACTTTTTTAAACTTTTGAGTTTTGTACAGCTGTTTACAATGTTTCTTTCTAACCTATTAACATAGAGACTCGTACAGTGCTTTCCTTTATACATTGGGTTACGTCATATGTCATGCAATTATTATTCGAGAGTTTAACCAAAATATGTCTACTGGGAATATTTTGCTGACAGGCACAGGCAGACATGAAACACAGAGGCAATTTCATTCTCACCCGCTGCCTTTTAAAGTGCACAATAATAAGTAGTTTGGGAGAACTAATTATGTTTAGTATCAAAAACCAAAAAAAGTCCATGCTCAATAATCCAGGTTACAATCCAGCAATTTTCAGTCAAGTCATCTGGACAGTTTCTTTTTTTGCTGAAACGTTTCACCTTCCATCCGGAAGGCTTCATCAGTCAAGGAAACACACAAAACAAAACTGATTCTTCCCCCAAACAGCTTACTCCAAAGTGGAACAAACCAGTTATGTTGGTGCTAAGATGGTGTCTTTGGCACGGCCCCCTCCTTCGATGCCAGCCCTCTTCCTCATCGACAGTCATGTCAAACTGGTTCAAAACCAAAAAAGTCCATGCTCAATAATTCAGGTTACTATCCAACAATTTTCAGTCAGGCCATCTGGACAGTTTCTTTTTTTGCTGAAACGTTTCACCTTCCATATGTTTAGTATGTTCTTCCTTTGCATTTTGATGTGACGTAATGTAAACTTTATTGCCACCTACTGGCAACAAATAGATATTTTAGCATTTTTGTTTCTCTGCTTCTCTTCTGAACAAAGCTTTTAGTTGTTTTGTTTTTCCATATTCAGAACAAGCATGTTAGTTTAAAAAATATCCCAAGTAGTGTGGTCAAGACCTAACTAAATGCAAGAAAATATAGTTTAAAGAGATATAATAATGGCAAATGATGATTTCTTTGCCCAAGCTCTCCCAACCTATTGCTCTATTTAAGTTATTAAAGCAAAGAAAATGCTCTCACACACTGTATATTATTCAGAAGTCATTTTCACATCATAGGACATAGTCAGAAGAAGCTAGTGTTTCGCAAGATAACACCTGTCATAACAATCAGTTACAGAAGAATTATTATGCCATTTCATTTTTCGCTTTAGCTTCTGAGCCATTTTTTGTTTCTTTTCTGCCCCAGGTGCCCGACACCAGGATGTGATGGTTCAGGACATATCACCGGCAACTATGCCTCACATAGAAGGTCCGACTCTAAATCATAAGACACATACAGAGTTAACAAATCTCCCTCTCTTTGTGTGTGGTGATGATCTGTACGCTTCAGCTTTGTAACTTTGTCATTTATCTACAGTCTTTCAGGGTGTCCGCGGGCCAGGAAAAGTGGGATAAAGATCATCCACAGCAAAGAAAATAAGGAGGACCAGGAGCCCATCAGGTACAGTACAGACACAGACCATCATTCTTCTGTGTGGCTGTAAAACCCAGAGGCTGAAACTTCCTCCTGCGACCAACGCTCCTCACTGTTCACTTCATGTGACATTTAAGACATATGACTTTTCATTTCCTGCTTTTGAAATGTGGGATTTCTAATCAGTCCTGCTATGTTCTGAGCAGTCAGTGCTGGTGTTAGACATGCATCTTTGTGAGCAGGAATAAATCAACTCTGACAAGATAAACAGGCAAAGACTGGAAAGTTTCAGTTCTTCTAGAAAGGAGTAGGAAGAACTTCAGAAGTGCAAGGTTGTACCAGGTTAAAGGGAGGTGGTTCCGCAGTCTCTGGTGAACTCACACGTAGATAAAGAGAGAGGGAAGCAGAGAAGGGAAGATAGAGGCAGAGAGAGATTGATTGATTGACTCTGCCTAAATCCCACAATGGGCTTCTGTGGCCTCAGCCCTGCAGCTGCATTGATTTCTCTGGTGGTGCAGAGCACAAACAACACACTTTGTTCATTCTTAAGCTTGTCATACAGTTGGAATCTGAGGACACTTCATCATGCAAACTCTGTTAGCATGCCGTATTCATGTTGTAATAATCATTTGCAAACTATGCAAATTAAAACAAAAAAGCAGCACATTAAAAACCAAACTATTTCTAAAAGAGTTTGGGGCTGGACACCATGTTGGGATTGAAAAGAAACAAAGGTCTGCATCTCTTTTTTTCCACGTGTTCCTTCTTTCAGAAATAGATCCTGTCATCAGCCTGTGTTTGTTTTGGGAGTGATACCGGCTCTCATGAAACAGAGCCGGATTGAATCCATAGCATTCAAGAGACTGCAGTGTATGAAGGAAGGGTGAAAGAAGTTGAGAAGGTGGAAAATGCACATATTTTGTTGAGCATTTAAATGTATGAGTTATTTTTACATTTCTTCTTATAGTTACCATCTACTTGCAAAGCTTAGTAAATTAAATAGGTAAATGTGATTTTTGCCCCATTGAGTAAAGAGATATAACATCAGCATTGAGTCCAGTCCTATAGTTTTAAATATCTCCTGCTAGATCCATGTGGGGGCATTTTTATTGCTTTAGATCTTTTTATACTTCAAAACTTCCAAATTACACATTTCATGCTCACCTCCTGTTTTCTGTTCAACTGTGCAGAGTTTGTAATCATATATTTTCTTAATTATGTTACAATTTATTGAAAAAAATCCAAGATTTTGATTGATTGCCTGAATCAAAACAAATTAAGATCACACACATGCTTTTTATTGTTACGATGTCACCTGTGATGCATTCAGGGCATCATGTTTGAACTCTGGGAAGATAGTTTTAAACAAATATAAATTTAAGGATCTGAATTACAATTTCTGAATTCAGCTGAAACAAGATTTATTATTTTCAAAGTAAGTAATCAAAGATCCAGAGCAGCAAACGGTGAAGATATTACTGTTAACTCCAAGTAAATTATTCAATGAAATAACTCAAGTCCTCCTTTATACAAATATACATGTAATACATATGTAATCTGGAAAGCTAAAGTTTTAAATATAACTTTGGAATTCAGCATAATTAACAATTAAAAAACAGTGTGTTAATTATAAGTGGTGAGACCAGTACACAAATGTGCATAAAGCAAAATATAATGGATAAAATCAGATAATACTTTAAAGCTGGACTTATACTGATCCCAGATGACAAAAGACAGAAGATAGACATTAGAAAGCATTAGTTACAGAGAGTAGATTTGAAAATCTGCAGAAACAAATTAAATTCTTTAGCAGAGTCCTTTGAACAGAACATCTTAAATAGAAAGAAAAGAATGGAACCCCAAAGCTTCTGATACTACCTCTGTGTCTGAAATGGACAAAACCCAACAAAGGTGTATGAAAAGCTGCAGCTTCTATTTGCCATAACTGATGCTTTCACAACTGATGCTAGCTTAAAACATAATCCATTTTGACAAGTGTGACATTTGGAATAATTTTCTGCCTTGTTGCACGTAACTTGCCCTGATGTTTATGCTCTGCCACCATTCTAAAACCCTGATAAGGCAGCCACTGAGACAGCTTTTAAAAGACATAATCATATCGTTTCTTTACAACACAGCAAAAGAGACGGAGGAAAACTGGAAAATAACATTTACTCATGCTCTGTTTGGTGTTGTAAGCAGTCAGCAGCTGAGACTAACAGGCTACTCCTTGGAGGAGAAAGATGATGAAAATAAGAGAAAGGTGATCTCTTTTTGTTTTTCAACTGTCCCCCACAGGTGTCCAGTCCCAGGGTGTGATGGTCAGGGACATGTGACGGGGAAATATGCATCTCACAGAAGTGCATCGGGATGCCCGATAGCAGCCAAAAGACAAAAAGACGGCTACCTAAATGGCATTCAGTTCACATGGAAGTCCGGAAAGACAGAAGGCATGTCCTGCCCGACACCAGGCTGCGACGGCTCGGGGCACGTCAGCGGCAGCTTCCTGACACATCGAAGGTGGGGCACAGTAAAGTGGTCCTAGTGTTACATTTAAGATTATAAACACTGAGTGTTTCAAACTTGATCAAATACAAGAGTGTAAAACTCAATAACAAAAGGGGGCAAAAAATAAGGTTCAAACCCAGGGACAATTTCAAGAAGAACATTAACTCAAGTCAGATAGCTGACATCTTTTCATGGTTGCAGGTTAGTTTGACATTTTTTGTTCTTTCTCAGAATTAAAGATTACAGAAAAATTATAACACTTTTTTTTTGGCTTCAAAGTTGACCATCTGTCATGAGAAGTCTGCATTAAATACACTATGCTAAGCATAGTTGGAGTCAGAATCAGAGTTTCTTTATTTGTCATTTGCACCACATGTGGTGGAACGAAATTGTGTACTCAGGGTCCCAGTTACATCCAGCAATAAAATGTAAAAGAAAAACAGTAATAAGATGTAAGATATGAAGTAAGAAAAACGTTAACTAAAAATACACTACGCACTAATAGCATAAAAACAATACGCCGAACATGAGTCTGTGTGAGCAGATGAGCACGAATGAACACAGCAACATGAAACAGATGAACAGCATGATGTGATTTTTCACAGTGATTATTCTGGTTAGAGATTCATGAGTCTAACAGCCTCAGGGTAGAAGCTGTTCCTCAGTCTAGTGGTTCTACACTTAATGCTCCTTAACCTCCTTCCTGAGGGGAGCGGGGCAAAACGTGTGTGGGTGCTGGGTGAGTGGGGTCCTTCATGATGCAGGTGGCTCTATTCCTGCATCTGGAGGTGTCGATGTCTGTGATGGTGGGGAGGCTGTAGATAGTGTATTTAGTGCAGTTAAATCCAGTGCATAGTGCGCTATGCTAGGTTTTTAATCAACACAAGAAGTGACAGAAAATATTTTACATTTAGAATATCTAGGACCAGACAAGATGTTCCCAAGGGCAAGATTTGGCCCTTGGGCCTTGAGTTTGACACGTGTAGCAATTTTGTCTTATTTAAAGACAGAATTAGTATGTCGAGTAAATTATCATCTGGATGTAATTCATAAAATCCCCAGATGAGAGATTTACTTTTGAATTTTGAGGTTCTAAACTTTTAAATTAAACCCATGTCACAGGTCTGTTGGAGTCAGCCTCCCCATCATCACAGACATCTTCAACCTAGATGCAGAAAGAGAGTCACCTGCATCATGAAGGACCCCACTCACCCAGCACACACATGTTTTGCCCCGCTTCCCTCAGGCAGGAGGTTGAGGAGCATTAAGTGTAGAACCACTAGACTGAGGAACAGCTTCTACCCTGAGGCTGTTAGACTCATGAATCTCTAACCAGGACAATCACTGTGAAAAATCACATCATGATGCTGCTGATCTGTTTCATGTTGATGTGTTCATTCATATTCATCTGCTCACACAGACTCATGTTCATGCTGCTGTTCGGCGTATTGTTTTTATGCTATTAGTACCTAGCATATTTTTAGTTGATGTTTTTCTTAGTTCATATCTTAGACCTTATTATTGTTTTTCTTTTACATTTTATTATTGGATGTAACTGGGACCCTGTGTACATATTTTTTATTCCACCACATGTACCACATGTGGTGCGTATGACAAATAAAGAAACTCTGACTCTGATGTGCAACCAGGTTTTATCAGTAATGACCAAAGCAGTCCAGAAACCCCACAAATCCACCTCTGGATGATCAGTAGCTTGTGATTTAGAATATGTTAGCCTGAAAATGTGCACTGATGCCAGTCATTTTCCACAGGATGTTTTTTGTGAAACTTGCAATGCTTTTGCAGAAAAGTTAACCTCTAAGTTAGAATAAGTGTTAGCATGGCTTGATATCTCATGTTGGTCAATAAATGGTAAGCAAATAAAGTTTGCTTTTTCTGCATCAGAATCCTCAAATGTTAAAGTTAAGAGTGACATTATGCATGCACAGTATATTTGTGTCTGTCCATGCTAATTAAACCTAAATGCCTTCATGTCAGACATTTTAGTTGCAGCAGAAGTTGTTGATATAAGCTTGTAATTTATGTGACAAAACGAGAACACAGCTTAGCAGTAGATGTACTCAAATTACATACTTTTCTGTCATTCCACTCATTTATTCACATTACGGGGATTTTCTTTATTTACAGTTTTTCATCAAGAATATGTTGCAGTTGTGCTTTCTTTGCACAGGTTGCTGCAAAATATTTTTTTTTTCATCTTGTTTTTCTTGAAATCTTCCCAATTCAGTATAAAAATGTCAGAGCTCTGAAAAGTGAACCTATATAAACACATAAGCAACATTTCCAGGCTTTAAGATACTATTATTGTTTTCTTTTCTCATATTTTAGGTGTCCATCTAACATAAGAAGCAAAGATGCACAATATTTTCAGCACACCAGTACTAGCAAATAATTAAAAATCCCAGCTGGTATTGACTAAAGAATGCAAATCAAGTCAAACTTTGCCGGTCATGGCTAAGTTTGGAATAAATCACTTAAACAATTAAGGTGATTTATTCCCAACTACTTATATTTTAATGTGTTTAGGCTGAACACATTTAAAATAGGATGAAGTTAAAAGTTTAACTTAAAATTGTTGCATCTAAATAAAGAACAAACTCATAATGGCAGTTACACTATAGCTTAATGATTTTAAATCTGTCGGCATTGGTTGTTTGTCAAATTTTCTTGGAAAATTGGAAATATGTTATTAAAAAAATCAACATTGGGTATCCTTGAAATTGATAAAACAAACTTTCAGGAAATGTCTAATAGAAATTACCCTCAAACAACAAATTACTTTTTGGAAATCACTGATGCTAGCCATTAAATTGGCATTTCTAGCCCTTTGATATTATATAGTGACTGGGTGAGTTTCTGAGCTTTAAACCAAATCTAGCATTATCTTTCCATTTTTCCTTTAAGCTAAGAAGCTGCCGGTTTCCCCTTTTGATTCAACAATGCAACTTGCTCCTAAACATTTCTTCAAATGAAACGGTCTTTACAAAAGTTGTCTGAACATGTGTTCACATGGAAACCCATCCTGTACTGAAACGATGCTTCCTTCTTGTTGCCGCCTGCAGTCTATCAGGTTGTCCACGTGCCACCTCCGCCATGAGGAAAGCCAGGCTCTCAGGAGTAGAAATGCTAACAATAAAGCCACAACGTGCCAGCAATGGTAAGCACAATTACCACTCGCCCACACAATGTAGCCAATCAGAAACATGGATGTGGAATGATTTACTGAGGAGCGTTCCAATTTCAGATAATAAACCAATCAGGGCGGTGTGTGTGTGTGCATGTGTGTGCGTGTGGCAAGCAGCGTTACAAATAAACTGCCATTCAGAGGTAATAACGATACAAGTGGCTCCAATCTGGACGAGCAGTCTGATTTAAGCTGGCAGCAATCAGACTCAGCCTCAGATGCAGATTTTGGCCCTTAATAAAGAGGATGAGAAGCTCATTGTGTATTTTTTTTAATTAATGCATTTAAACTATTTCAAATGACCTGTTGTAGAGGCAAACACTGTCAAACTAAATGCTCTGAGCGATTTTGGCCATTTTGTGCCATTTTTAATGACCATTCCTGACAATAAGGCTTCTAAGCTGATCTGTTGCACTGTTGAACTCTAGTTCTCATTGTCTCCAGGGCTGGAGCATGAAGAGGAGATCAAACAGCTGGATGAAGAAATCAAAGATTTAAGTGAATCCAATTCACAAGTGGAGACAGACATGATCAAACTTAGAACGCAGGTGAGTCACTTCCTGTCCTCGCGTGGAGCCATCTTTGGGTTTGGCAGCGGAACAACCGTAAGACACTGTGGCGCTTTGTTCCGTCTCTGCAGATCACAACAATGGAGTCCAGCTTGAAGTCCATAGAGGAGGAAAACAAGGTGATTGAACAGCAAAATGAATCTCTGCTGCATGAGCTGGCCAACCTCAGCCAGTCACTGATTAACAGTTTAGCTAATGTCCAGCTCCCTCATATGGTAAGGGCCACCAGGAACGGCGAGCCAGAAAGGCGCAGACAATAGTTAACCATATAGCATTTTACTGTGTATTTTACCCACAGCTGTTATGTGCATGCTTACTCTAAACTGTGGAGCATCGCTTTGTCTTTCCAAACAATGAGGGGGAGTTGTGAAATGAGGGCAGAGTTGCAGCTTCTACGAGAGCTGAACTTTAGCTACTCAGCTTAAGCGAAACAATATGTTGAGGTTTTGTTTGCCGTTATAAAGAAACTACAATGAAGGGAGTTATTCTGGGATTAAAAACATGTTTTTTGCTGTAGTTTTAATTCAGGCTGAGGACATTTTAGTCAAAAGAAAAGACTTCCGTGTGCTTGAGACGCTTTATACTGTTCGTTCATTCTGTTTTGTTGCTTAAGGTTCTGTTTTGTGATCATAGACAAGTTTGTCTTGTTTCGTCCATCTTACTGTCGTGATCATCTCTTGCATATAATTTATCCACTGACAAAGAGTCCAGCTGTAATCCTGCATCATCTTTTATGTGACATCCACTTTTATCTAACCTATGTTCCAGCACTGTGTAGTGATTTTAAATTTCCTCGTGATAACTCCTAATCATCTAAGAGCTTTGTCCCAATGTCTTTCTTACCTATCCATCCCCTTTTTGTTCACCATTTTTGGAGGTCTGTAATTTATTGCTGTCTATTCAAGCCTGCCATCTAGTGTTTGAATTTAGAAGCACCAAATTGAAATAGCTTTTTAAGCTTAAAGAAATCTTTCTTTGGCTGTGTGTAGAAACCTCTGGCAGACAAAGAGCTTCCTCTGAGGAATAACAGCTGCTTACAAATGCACCAGCAAGTAAGTCTCCCCCTTAAATAATTGAAGATGCTTTATTCCTGCTCTGCATTTCGATGTCGCTCTTCATTTCTTCTGGGAGTTTGTTTAGATCTTAAATGTTTAAAGAAAAAAAATATATATATAAATTAATAAAGACCTAACATTCCTTCATTGAATACATTTGCCTCATCACTTAACCTAAAATCATCTTGAGAACAGTTCTTACCAAATCTAGTTGATTTGTGCAACGTTCTGCTAACAGTGTTTCTCAAACTGCGGTCCCTGGACCCCCAGGGGTCAGCGAGCCAGTGCTTGGGGGTCCCTTCCACCACCACCAAAAAAAACAAACAAACAAACAAAAAAATATATATACCGTATTTTCCGGACTATAAGTCACACTTTTTTTTTCATAGTTTGGCCAATCCTGCGACTTATATACGTTTTTTTCCCCTGTTCATGACGCTTTTTTTTGACGGACACATTAAATGTTCATTCATACTGACATGAACCAAAGAGTAAACATCACCATTTGTAGCTGTGAGAGGGCCCTCTAGGCTTTTGACAACCATATGTTGTTCCTCTACCACTAAAATTCCCCAAAGTGTTGTGGAATGAGACGGGTGAATTTACCAGTAACTTGTCGGACTCGTTGTCTTATGTTCATTAGGCCTGTTCAGGATCCCAGGTATGTTCTGTGTGTTATTATTTCAGACTAAATGTCTGTTTTTGCACTTTGTGAAATACACTTCCTAAATAAATGCGACTTATACTCCAAAGTGACTTGTATATTGTATTTTCCTCGTCGTGAGACATTTTTTGACTGATGCGACCTGTACTCCGGAGCAACTTATAGTCCAGAAAATATGGTATATATATTTTTTCACAAGCACATAGATGTTTATCAACCTGTTAAAATACATCAAAATGCAGGAAATCACATCTACTTTATTCAAAAATTTCTGGGAAAGGACCACCAGGAATCCCCACTATTAACGTTCCAGCGTAGATCGGTTTATATATGAAGCCCTGTAACTTGGCATGACTTCTGCTGTTTTGATTCTATTCAGTTTTATGTAAATAGTTTTTTGTAATAATTTGAAAAAGTGGCAATACATTTATCTTCATTATGTGAATATGTTAAGTTTTAAAGTGGTTTTTGATACTGTTAATTTTCTCTAAACTAATTTTTGGAAGTAGAAATTAAAAGTTTTGTTAATTAAATGTGTCTTGAATGAAAAATACCCCTTGGTTAAAAGTATGATAATTGTATTAACACGGTTAAAGAACAGCTCTTAAGTATTTATGTCACATAAATATTTCAGTTGCATTAAAGAGACAAAATGAATCAAATTATTTAATAAACATGAGAGTTATGAGGAGGTTCCTGAAACTTTTTCTCCCCTGTAAGGGGTCCCTGAACCCAAAAAGTTTGAGAACCCCTGAGAAGACCAACAGATTAGCATGCACACATGGAAACAAAGGGAAAAATGTAAACATGAATGTCGATAAATGTCTAACCTGTACTTTGTTCTGCAGGAGTCCTTAAGTGAGCAGAACTTTGACGCCTACGTCACCACCCTGACAGACATGTACACAAACCAGGACCAGTACCAGAGTGCAGAAAACAAAGCCCTGCTGGAAAACATCAAGCAAGCAGTTCAAGGGATCCAAGTGTAACCACTCAGCAACGGGGGGGCTTTGGTTCCCCCTGACATAAGGAGACGCATGCAGTGATGGTTTAACCTCCTCGGTTCGGTGCAGTAATTTATATAGTGTTATATATTCTAAATTTTGTTCTTTGAAGAAAAAGAGGTATTATGCTTAGGAAGACCTCCAGATTATTTCTTCTTTTCGTTTCTTTTTGGGCCTTGCTTCGAGGAGGAACATAAAGGAGTCAAATCGCAAAATAGTTTTTGAGGACATTCACATTTTGTACGTTTTCATATGAGCTGACATAGTGTCATGTAACGTTTCTAGCTGCTCATGTATGCACATTTTTAGTGTATATTTCTGAACAGGAAGCTAATGAAAACGGAGGTTCTTTTTATTGCTCGACAACAAAGCATTTTAGATTTAAAAAAAAGTGAACAGTGAAATACAAATAAAAAATAAAAAAATACTACAAGCTACTTATTTTTCTCCTCAGTGGATAATTTTGGAGATTTTGTTTTGTTTTGTTTTGTTTCCTTCGTTGTCTTTTTCTTCTTGCGTGTACATTGTTTAAGAGCAAGGACTAGTTTGTGGATTGCTTTATTTTCTGAAAATGCTTGAGAAACATTCGTGCTTTGTTTCGATGGAAAAGACATGTCGCTGTCGGTGGGGGTGGGTGGGGGGGGGCATTTTTTAAAACCGGTGCTGTAAATGAACCTGGAAAAGAAAATTACCTGATGTCTGTATGAATGTATGAATGAACAGTTATATTGTAAACATCATTACACGGAAACGCGGTGGTGGAAATCCCATTTCTGTATCAAACAGAGCCAATTAGCTCTTAGAGAAGCAAGTCATGCATGTTCACATGCTCATCCTAAATTAGTCTGAGGTAGAAAAGATGCGTAAAGACACTGACCCATAAAGGTCACATTTTAGCCTTTCTAGTATCGAATTTGCTCAATTTTGTTATGAAATATCTCAGCAATATAGCAACAAAATTGTTTATAGGAGGTATACGTGATGCAATCTGCAAAAGTGGAAAAAAAAAAGAGAAAAAAGTTTGGGAATATGCAATTTCTTGTTTATAAGCATAGCGGGGTAACACGAGTCTTTTTAATATATCCTATGTAAAATATTGATTTTTATACAAATCTTTTAATACAAAAAGTCTTTTTAAAAAAGAGAAGGGAACCTGGACATTCAGTTTTAGAAGCTAAAGTATATGAGTTAGACATTTGTTTTCTGTACGATTTTGCACAGGGACACCTTCGTTTCCATGTTTTGATGTTCTTACAGAAACAGCAGTACCCGAGAGCCTGCAGAGAGGGTTTCCAAGGGTTTTTGTAAAGAGTATTTATAGAGAGCGGGACTTACAGGGTCACTGTCCCCACTTATGTGCCAGTAGACTATTTGCACTTGTCCTTGAAGATATTATCCTTACGTATGGCAGCGTGCAATTTTCCAGACGACCTCTTTGGCACACGATTGGAGCAACCCAACTACTTGGAGCCACTGCAGGTGTGGATTTCCCACAGAGAGAAACAGAGATGAGGATGCTGAAATCAGAAGGATGATTATAACCATAGCAGTTATACTGTAGGATATCAAGTGTAAAAAAAAAACAACAAAAAAAAACATTAAAGTTCTTTCATTTTTGCTATGTTTTAGGAAGATGAAGTTATCCCCCAGCAGCACTTTATATCTAATCACTGTACAAAGGATTACATAGTCAATCAATTCAAGGTTTAAAAAAAATGAAAAATAAAAAACAGAGGAGACTAAAGCGTGGAGACCTTTGCGGGGTGATACAATCCAGCATCACATCTGTCTGCCTGAGAATACGCACCCCTCCATTCTGTCACCGTAGTTGTTAGCCATCATGTCCAGAATTTGCCTTTTGGAGAGCTAATGCAAGAGGTGCTCGTGGTTCACCTGACTGAATCTCATCTATTGTACTTTACTGTCCTCTTTAAGGACTCTACCCATCGTCCATGACTGCATACGCCTTTTACCACAGCATCGTGTCTGCAGCTTTTTGCCAATATAGTAATGCTTCAGTAGAGTTATAGCTAGTACCAGTTTTTTTTTTTATTTATTTTTTTTATTAATTCTCATTATCAGTGAAAATGGACAAAGGGACTTTAAAGCACAAAGCAGCTGCTCATTTGACGTCGGTGCATAAATAACAAATCTGAAAAAGAGTTATCCGTGACTATCTATAGGGAACACAAAAAGGTCGTCACATATTTAGAATGCTGAATTTCATATAAATTATTGTGAGTTCATCAGAGTTTATTATTTTGTTCGAGCCAGTTCATTTCAAGGTTGATTTCAGTGGCCATTAACAAAGACGGGATTTTGTATAAACTATTGTGCTCTCTGTGGAACCGAAGTTTGATTTATTTTTGTACTACACAGCATGGATTTGTTGACATTTTAATTTTGCTATAAATGTGTGAGATCACAAGTTGCTGTGATATTTCATTTATAAATTGTGAACTTTGTACAATTTTTGTCATGCTGGATGTTGACACATCTTACTCAGAATAAAGAAAAAATGTGTTGCCAGAGGCCTGTTAAAGGATTTCCTTGTGTCTTAATTATGTAAAGATTATCCCGCCATTCTCTATGAAACTGATGCAAAGTTGTTTTAAATACACATAATCAGTGGATACCCATAAACACTTGAAACTTGCATGCACACACATTTTAACTGGACTGCAACTGGCACAGGCTATTACCAAGTTTAATTTTAGGAAAAACTGCAAGTAAATATCAAAATTTACAAATTGTCAGAATTTTACTGTATCCTGAAAATAATGATTGCTTTGTATCGTTAAAATTAGCACATAGATACGTTCTTCAGCATATCATTAGTTGTTTATTTCTAGTATCACCAAAAGAAAGTGTTGAATGAATAAGTGAATGAATGGATATATTTATTTTGGTTGGACTCAACTTCACCACCAGATGTCCTCAAATCTGACACACTTCTGTAAATAGTTTTTATTTTTATTGTATATAGGTCAAATTTAACTTTCTGTTAAGTTCTGCATTCTAGGCTGGATGTTTACATGAAGGTTTTCCCCTAACAATGTCTTTATAAATGCATTTCAGGTATGTACTTTAGAGGAACATATGAAGGGTTATTATGTAGAATGAAACGATGAGTGTGTGAGTCTGCATTGTTTTTAATTAAGTGAGAAAAATGCATCCATTCAAATACTGTGCACGTCTGTTTCTGATTTGTATGAGGTCAATCAACAGAGCAAGGATCAGATGTGACACCATGCAGTTTCAGATAGCAGATGCAAAAAAAGAAAGAAAATAAATTATAAAAAATATTTTAAGTGTCGTTTAGCTACAACTACAGTATCACTTGAATAAAAAAAAATGGACTAAATTAATCAAAATACAAGCCATAATTTGTCAGTATACACAAACTGTAATCCTTGTAATCTATCCTAATTTTCTTTTATTTTTGTTCTTTTATTTTTTAATTTTCCAGCAGAGGTCAGCAAATCCAAACATTCCTTTAAACTGGTTAAATTAAAAACATGTGGCTGCCCTCTGTTCAGAGGTGCAGCTTTTCCTTACATTCACTTGGCAAATCTTAGCTGATTGTTATGGTTTGCAGCCTGAGCTCAAACAAAAAGGAATATGTTAATTACCACAAAAATAAATTGAAAAATCAGTTCTGCATTAGAAATAAACAAAAAAATGTTTTGTGTGTAAGTAATAGTGTAAATAAATGATCAATAAAGTGATAGGTTAAAAAAAACACTTTGTTTTCATAAAAAAACACTAACTGTTGTTAATCAAAATAATGTACAGGGATAAAGAGTATTTAATAAGTTAAGTATAGCAATATATTTTTTATAGTTTGTTGTTTTTGGTTTATTTTATGTACACAGCCTTGTAAAGTAACATTAGTGAGTGTCTTGTCACAGACATGACACTAGGAGATGATCTAGAACAGTACTTTGGTTGATGAGTGATGGATGCTTAACGTCACATATTTAGCATGAATTGATTGACAACATGTTAGAAATAAGAAGCAACAGCTGTTTAAATTGTAATTTTGAGATACTTTCGAGTTATAACAAGAAAAATAACTTCCTTGATCAAAAATAAATTGTATTAAGTTGTCGTCTCAAGAAAAAAAAATCTTTGTTTTTGTGATATGGCAAAATAAACGACCCATTACAGCAAACAAACAAACATTTTGCTTTTCACACACAAACGCGCAGAGAAGAAGAAAAAAGGCACTTTTGGAGCTCCATACTTACGCATGAAAAAGCCGGACAAAACTAAAACGCGCAAAAAATTATACCCAAAACAAAGATCTGACTGGAACGTCAACTCATATCCTTAAGTTATTTGATTGAACCACTTTTCCTCTTTGTATTTTGCAATGGATGACTTATATAACGCAAATTAAATTAATAAAGTAAACCTTTCACTTCATGCGCTCAGGAAGTCAATGCGTAAAACGCGCGGTTGGCTCCACGTTTAACAATCCTGCTCAGCTTTCTGTTGGACTTTGTCGGGACTGCCTCGCTGCTGTTGTGTGCGTGTATGGGTGTGTGCGCGTGCGCGTGTGAGAGCGAGCAGGGCAGCTGGCTCTCTCTGTTCGCCTCACTGCTGGAAATCATGGCGACCCGGGCCGGCCAGCTCCTCTCTCCGCGGCTTCTCGCCGCCGCAGCTTTCTTTCTGGTCGCCTGTGGACCTCAGTTTGCATTTTGCTGTCCGAGTCGGTGTCTGTGTTTCCGAACCACCGTGAGATGTATGCATCTGAACCTGGAAACCGTACCGACTGTGTCTCTTCAGACAACCATTCTGTGAGTAGCTTCTTTTTTCTCTCTCTTTTCCTCCAAACTAATCAGAACCAGCAACCACGGGGATCTAATGCATACTTGCAGACATGGGGTAACCTGTATTGTTTGTAGTTCTCTAGAGTAGTGTATTGTTTGGAAATAGAGCTGATTTAGTGGTTATTAAAAGGTTTTAAGAAGTTTATAGATAAATGTTCTGGCACCTGACTTGCCCTGAGAGTTGAGGCATGGGTTGTTGGGGTTAATGAACAGGGTGTTCAGGGTCAAAACAGCTGCTCAAGTCAACTACAAGAAGTCTGTAAAGGCTTCCCAAGAAGTTCCTGGAGGGCATCCACAGCTGGTGATAACATTTTCTCTGTGCTGCAAATGAAACAAGAGGTGTACGTTTTCAGAAAGGTTCTTCGGCTTTTTACACCCAACAATGATGAAACCGTTTTCTTCCTTCCTCTGCCTCATTTTGAAAAGTTTCAAAAGTTTGTCACTCAAGTAAAACTCCACGTTTTCCCATTTGTTCTGAGATGAAAGAAAGGAAGTTCTTCTGTCTTGACACCCACTTGTGAACATGCCGACCAAACAAGTCTCCTTCCTGGCTGCAGGAGCACAAAGCTCCACATCAGTCCAGTCCGTCCAAATATGTGGCGGTCTTTGTATCCGATCAGCTTCTGAAATCTTGAGGATTTCAGTCTCTTACACATGGAACTATAAATAGATTCATAAGGATACAAAGGGGCAAGTCAACCAGCTGAGACCCCACCACCATGCTCAGAGTATGTTCTGTCCTCTACCATCTGAGGTCAGCCCACAGTCCTACGTGGAGCCTGCCTGGATATCTCCAAAAGGAAGATGAAAGTCTGACATGTGGCACACCAATGGAAGGATTGTGTTGATTAGAGGAGAGGAGCACGCTGTGGTTTCCTACAAGTTTTCATGCTGGTGGAGCTTTGAAGCTCCTTGTGGCTCCCCCTATACCTCCTCACCTCTCTGGGCTGTCATGTCAGGACGTGACTTCCTATCTGGGCTTCCTCCAGTGTGCTGTTTGAAACATGACCCGCTATCTGCACCAGGAGAACTTCCCGACAGTAAACTTGAGCTCACTAAGTGAGAGTTTGAAGAAGATCTTGTCTTCCTGCAGTTTATCGTCTGGTCAAACTTAAGACTGCATCCTTTTATCCAACTTGACCTCTCTAATATGTTATAAAATAGAATAAATGTAGGATTGTCCTTTATATTTGCTGTTAATATACTGCCGTGAAATACAATGTTATAAAGTTATGTTCTATCACTAATGAAAAAGTATATTTGAGATCAGCATTGTAAGCATTTTATTTACAACTCTTGACTCCTTTAGTGCCGGATATTAATCAGATTAATTTGTAAAATATGCATGTTTTTCAATATGTCTGCTGTGTATTTTAGTCCACTAAGAATTAGAAACAATATAACAGAAAGCCCACAGATGTGTGTACACATATGTGTTAGTTTACAATCCTTTTTTCCATGATTTCCAACATGGAACTCCGTTAATTTCATTGTCTTGTATAGGAAATTGTGGAAAACGGTAAATTAGTTTTGCTAACAGCTCATGACAGAGTTTTCCCCGTTTTTATTAAATTTTATCCCTACATTTACATTTCAGCTGTTTGCGCTTTGGACTCTCTTTCCGAGGAAAGCTATCAAATTACGTTCCCACTGTGTAACGCTGTAAGGGTGTTGCTTCATGTCTTCTCACGGAAATGATTTTGACAGACATTTTCGTTCCAATATTAAATTTGAACTATGTGTGTAGTTTTGTATTTCAGTAGCATTCAGCATGATAAATCTGGATTGAATTGTGTAAACTGATGTGTTGTCCACGTCATGAGACAAATCAGGGTTTTGTTATTAGCTGGTTTAAAGTACAGATTTAGAACTGCAACCTTTTTACGGCACTTTAGTTTGTTGTAGCAACTGAGTCATTTCAATGGAAGTTTGTGCTACAGTGTCATGTGGCTCTAATTGTTCCATCATTTCAGATAAGCCATTGTTTTAAGATCAAATATCTTTGCCTTCATACCCCTACTTTGCTAACTTCCTGTAAACAGTGGCCTGGTTTGCTCGAGTGACAGTGGGAGTTAGAGAGTAAGTGGAGTCTGTTCACTTGGAATTTGCTGCAGTCAGGTTTTGTGAGGCATTCAGTCTTTGCAGCTTTATGGAATGCAAAGCCAGAAATCCCCAAAGCTTTGCTCGTTTGCCCACAGAGATAGTTGTTGGAGGGGTCTCTACAGGCCCCATCATGTGCACTCCAGTGCAGAACAGCTGGTGAGTTTGTAGGAACAGTGCTTTACATTTCCTTTGAGTTTCTACCAATACAGCTTTAGACATGTCATATCAAAGACATGTCATGTCAAAGTCCTGCAGTTGCTTCAACAAAAAAGCCCATGTAAGAAATTTTCCATTCATCAAATTGTTATTCGAAACTCCAATACTACTTCAAGGTATGAGATCGGCTCTAGTCCCATGCAAGGCAAATCTAAATTATTTTTTATCTGAGTGGTTGAAGAATTAATACAAGACCTATATGAATGATTTGATTGTAAAACATTCTCAGTGTGTTCTACATTAGATTGATACCAACTATTGGATAACTTAGTTTAAATTTCAGCTACCAAGCATCCTAAATACTGTTAAGTCTCCAAGACCACCAAGCTTAGGATTATGTGTCAAGTGGCTTTGAAGTTGCGTATCATATGTTGCTGGTCTGACAGCCGACCTTTGGAAGTGCCAACAACTAGTTTGCTCATCAACTTACTGGATGTTGATCAGAACTCTTGGGGATTGTCAGGATGTTCAACAAAACTGCTGGCATAGCCCTACAAAACCTCACCGACCTACACAAGGTGAGGTCAGTGAACAAGGCCAGGCTGATTCTGGCAGATCCTGATCATCCACTCCATGGTGAGATCAGGCTGCTTTCATCTGGACGCAGGTATCTGCTGTCCAGATGTATGACAAACAGACTGAAAAACTAATTCATCCCTGTAACTCTCAGGCCTCTCAACAAACAGTGATGATTTCATGTATTGTTATTTTAATGTCTCTATGTCTTGTTTAGTATGGATGTTTTGTGTGACTACTGACTGTGAAACAAATTGCCCCTTGGGAATAATAAATAAATAAATGGAGATATGATACTTGAACTTGAAGCCTTTGGCATTTGAAGCCACATCTTTAGATTTACAATGGTGCAATGCTTTTGGATCGATTTGCAACATAATGGGCTCCACTGATTCCTTAACTTTTTAAGGACTGTGGTGGTTCATCGTTAAGTAATCAGTTTAATTAAAAGCAGGGCTGCCACAACATTGAATGTTTACACTGACACACTGGCCTAAAATGGGATTTTGGACCTAATGTGTCCAAAATGCTGCCAGAAAAGTGTCAGCATTGTTTACTTAAATATGTCAGGCATGGGCTTAGTCTATGTCAGAATGCAATGCAAACAATGTAACTTTATAGGAAAACCATAAATGTAATCTTTTGCTAGGTTTATACAAAACAGTCTGCTGGAGTACGACTTTATCAGCTTGCTAGTTGAATTATGTGTCTACCTTCGTGTGTAGGTAATTGAGTTGGGTAGGCTGTTCATTTTCAGACCTTTTGTTTATCCAAAACCAGGAAAGGCCTTTCAGCCCCTCTGCAAGCTTGTTAGTTTTGCTGTTTTATAGTTCCCTTTGGCCCGTTGCCATCAAAACATGTTAATGGGAGTTAACAGACTTAGTTTATGAGTTTGGAAACAGATCTAATAAAATTGTCATCATTTTCTTGTCGCCTAATTTGCTGAATGGTTTTCAGACAGTTTGTGCTCTAACGGTCCAGTTAATCCTGTGTTTTACCATCTGTGGGGTGAGTCATTTCCCCCGGCTTTTGTCTTGTGCCTAAACAACCTCAAAACAAGATTAGAGACCAGCGGTCTCCTTTGACTAAGTATTCCCATTATGTTGGACTGTACTGAAACGGTTGAGGACTTTTAGCTTGAATGCTTGCTTGCAACACCTCTGTAGCTTTTAAAGAAGTTTTTATTAACAGGTCCCAAAACAAAACAATCAGACACCCATATCAGAATGACAATGATACCATTCCTTAAACAAAATTGCTTTTAAGTGTCTGTCTGAGCTCTTGGAGTTAATTAATCCAGAACATTCTTAGTATTTGAGCATGTTCTTCCCTTCAGCTGACAGCTGAGCTGACCCTGTCACAGTCAACTGCCTGCTTGACCTTATTCAGACTTCCTTTTTTTAAGTACAGATGTGTCAGCCAAGAAAATGAGCCAAAATACCAACAAAGACAAAATGAGGTCCAGCTCCAAGTTTTAGTCATGGGACCACATATTCTAGAATATGTCTTGTGTACCGTAAGTCTTTAAGAAAGTAGTTGATTCTAAGTACCGTGGAGATGAACTTGCAGAAAACTAAACCAATGCTTGCACTGTCAGATTCAGCACATAGCTCTGCTCCCGTACCACCCCCACCCCCCATCCCTGCGGGCCACAGTAGACAGGACAGTCTCTGCCTCAGCATGCCTGGACAGCCGTTCTGCACCTCGAGCCGGCACAAGGAGATTTTCCTCAGTGTCTTCTACTGAAGACAACTCATTCTTTCCTTCATTTAAAATGTTGTTGGCACTTGTTGCACTGCGGCGGTGTTATTTCTCCAAACAGTCCTGTTTAAACTTTCAGAATGTCAAGTTTGGTCACGACTCAGAAACCAGCTCAGAAACCTGTTGATTGATTTTGATTAGCAATGCTCTATTTTTAAGATGGGATGTTGCAAGTTATTTCTGAGACAGTTACTTCTTTTTAGATGTTGACATGAATGTTTTCTTCAAAATTTATGGTGAAATTGTTTGGTCAACCAAAACCAACAGAAACATTTTGACAGACTTGAGAATTTGATACAATTAAAGGAAACAGCTGGATTTCACCTAAGTAGCCTAAAGACAAAACTATTTTATATAGTTTTTTTTTTTAAAACACCTATGTCAAACACTACATTATGAACATATGATTTTTTTTTTTTTTGCATTTTAGAACATGTGTGAGAAATAAAAACCGTCATGACTGAACTTGATCACTTTGGAATGCCAATCTACCCTAAACTGTCTCAAAATCTTGGAACTAGACAGATAGGATTCCATATCTAATGACCCAAAGAACCACTTCCTCCTTGTTATTGCTCAGGACTTTTTTTTTTTTGCTTCTTATATCTTAAAGATAGATTTGTGTATTTTAGTTGGACACAATATTAGCTCTTTGATAACTTAGCGAACTCAAAAATTCACATTTTACCTCAGCATTGATGGAAAACAAACTGGATTTCTTATGATTGTATGTTTCTGGTGTTATGCTTTTCTAGAAAAGAGTAATTTTTATGTTTCAGTTTTTAATGTACTTTTTTTTTTTTTACCTGGGGATGTGAAACATGACATATTAGTCTAATTTAAGATGACACAGAAATAAAAGGTAGAGCTGCTTTTCTCCTGGATTTAAAACACACTGATCCCATCCTCCTTATGCGACAGTTTGGCTTGATAAGTGAGATATGTTTAGTCTTTCTCACACAGACTGAGATTGTTTATTTTGTAAGGTCAGTGACTGACAATAATGCTGGGAGATAGCTTGAATTCTTATTGGGAGTTTGATATATTTAAGAAATGTTCTAGAAGATAACATGAATGGTTTTACACTGCTTCACTCTGCTTGGCTTTGTGGCTTAAATAAAAGGTTGTATAAGTTATGATTATATGTGATGGGGTTTTAAAACACAATCCATTTATGAATAGTAGGTTTCAGTTTTACTTTGTATAATTGATCTTTTAAAAGTACTTTAGTGTGTGGCTTATAGTAATCAAAAACACTAAGTATACCCTCTATTAAATCTAAGATTTATTGTATTGGCATATTGTTTTTGCATATTAGGTTTTTAGCATATTTCTTAGTTCATATATTAGATCTTATTACTGTTTTTCTTTACAATTTATACTTTTGTTGGATGTAACTGGGACCCTGTGTACACAATTTCATTCCACAACATGTACCACATGTGATGAGAATGACAATAAAGAACTTTGACCTTGAAAGATTTGATCAGTACATTAAAAAAATGCAATACTTATATATATATTTTTAACCAAGTCTTGAACTGAGTCCACCTTTATTTTTTTTCTATAGAACTTGATAGTGGAAGGAGGAGTCAGGTGAGGCAATTTCATTCATTCAACATTTATTTATACATGTTATTCTCATTGAATCTCAAGGACTCATTTATAAGAGAGACCTGTTTTAAACAAAGAGCATAGGTGATGTACAGACAACAATAGACAATCACATAAAAAGCATATAAAAATAAAAGTAAATGAAAAAAATTATAAAAACTAAACAAATAGCTACAATATAAAACAATGTAAAATACTAAAAACAGGAACATGTCTGCATTGGTTTTTGCCATGAACTTAACAGTTGTTTAAAATCCCTTAGAGAGGTCAAAGTCACCAACTTCAGATCTTGTTGAAAGGTGTTCCAGGAAACAGGAGCGGACTAGGAGAAGGCCCTTCTGCCAAGTTCAGTCCACAATGAGGGAACACTGCATGTAATAATGTCCTGAGAGTGCACGCTGTAGCTGCACTCACGCAGAGACATGTAGGAGGAGTTGTATGAAGGCAGCAGACCAAGAAGTGATTTAAAGATGAAAATGTACCAGTGGGAGAGTCTGCGTGAAGTTAATGATGACCAGTTAACCAGTGAATACAGGGTGCAGTGATGGGTACGATAGTTACAGCCAGTTATGAATCTTAGCGCACCAAGCTTGCAGGATTGTTCATGTAAATAATGTCACTGTAGTTAATGGAGAGAAGGAAAGTAGCAGTTGCAAAGTGTTTCCTAGCATTCAGCATTAGGCAGGATCCATTTCTAAAAAAGAAACACAGTTTTATTTTCAATTTTTTTTTTACCAAGTTTTTGAAAGAGAGATGAAAATTGACCAAGATTCCCAAGTACTTGTAGGAATCAACAAACTCAATAGGGGCACCATTCATAGATTAGATATAACGATGGACTGCTGGTACCAAGTTTTTGTTCGAAAACAACATCCCTTTGGTTTTATCAGCATTTAACACCAGTTTGAGATGGAACAAATCTGAGTGGACGATGTCGAATGCAGACTGTAAGAGTTGAAAAACCTTAGCAACTCTTTTAGCTGGACAATAAACTGTCGTCAGCATAGAAATGTAAGGATGCATCAGGAATTATCTGACCTACATTACGTATGTAGGTTGTGAAGAGTGTGGGTCCTAAGACTGAGCCTTGTGGTACACCATTGTTGAATACAATTTAAATACATTATTAAGTTAAATACATTATTGTTAGCAGCTGTGAACATCTCTACAAAATCAGATATTTTACCAGTTTGTTGTTCTTAAGAAAAAGAATGAAAAACTTCCGCAATGACTTCAGAGAAGCCACTGTCACTGCCCACCAGTCCGGTTAGAAGATTGTTTTAAAAACTACAAGATTCCATCATTCCACAGAGAAAAGGCCACAGTAGAGAGATGAGAAGTGATGTTTGGCCATAAAGCACAGCTCCATGTTTGGAGAAAAATGAACACATGATGTCACAGATGGTGATTTGGGCTTGTTTTGCTGCCACAGAACGAACATGTGTACTTTACAGTCACTAAGTCGACTGTGAACTTCTCTGTACACCAAGTTACTGTAGATTTAAATGTGAGACCATGTGTCTGACAGCTGAAGGTTGGCCTTGAAACAGGACATGGCAACAAATCTACAACGGAATGACACAAAAACAAAATATTGACGATGTTGCCCCAACTATGACCGAAATGCTGTGTGTGTGTGTGTGTGTGTGGGGGGGGGGGGGGGGGGGGGAGACTTTAAAAGACTTTTCCAAAAAATAAGTTTGCAAACCTCAATAAACTGAAGCAATTAATTGTGTCATGAAAATGATGACAACTGAAGGTTGTTCTGCACAATATTGAATCATGCGGTGGACTGCTTGACAGTGTTACATGTTTTGTCTTGTTCATCTGAGAGCATTATAAATATAGAGCTGCCAACCAACATACATTTTTGTATAATGGTTTAATTTTTAAACCTTAATGACTTGAAGAAAGGAAATCAACTGTTACATGAACTCAGGTCAAGTTCAGATTATTAGGTTCTACAAACATCCCTGTTTAAACAGGATGTTCACATTTCTTGTAACGTGTTTTTATAATATTACTCCTGCATTACTTGGGTGTTAGATCTTTTTTTGGCAAACCTAGTGATTTGAGTTAATGTCGTGCTTTGGTATTATCTTTACACAGCCTTTTTCAGTTAGAAAGAAACAACAGGCAGATTCTTGAAACCTGCAATCCTGATTGCTGCAAATAATCCCCAGTGTGTTATCTTTTGGCAAATATTATCTGAATCCACCCTGAAGATTAAAGCTCAAAAAAAGCCTTCATGGGAATCCAATAAGACGAAGGATTTTTCTGTGACGACTCATGCCATGTGTATTACCTCTTTTCTAACATAAAATTGTGCAAACGTTTAAATTAATGTATTTATACACTTAATGATAAGCTTTTCTGATTCTCCTTTGTTTTGCAGAGACTTAAGATTCAACAAAATCAAGGATTTACAGCCGGGCTCCTTCAGACATTTAAAAAACCTCAACACGCTGTAAGTCTTTTTTTGCTCGTATGACATTGGAATTTTGTTTCTTATATGTGAGTTGCCTTATAATCTTAGAATGGATTTTTCTCTTTTACATGTTTTTTTCATATCTTCAGCTTTAAGAGTGAATTTAGCATTGTAAGAAGTGTGTTCAAGCAGCAGCTTGTATCATGTGGCTTTCTTTTCCATTGTCCGGGTTTGTGGTTTTTGTAAATTAACCGCACCCCACCTTATTCAAGTATTTGCACTGTTAATAAAATAATGAGGAAAACCAAAAAAATAAAAAGCTTGTTTAGCAATCAGAAACTTTCACTTAAGCTTGCCTGTGAGTTTGTGGCAGGGATGCTGTATACTTTTTGAAATAAACTGCAGAAAAGTCTTATAAGTTGGGAGAAAAAACTCACTTTTCGTATTTTCCGGCCCATCTGAAAACCTGAACGCCTCTTTTTGTTCAAGGCTGATGCTCCACAGACCTTTGAACCACAGTGACTTCACTAAAAACAAAAGTACATTTTAATTTTGACAGTGACAAACCTTTATATCAATAACCCCTGTTTTATTTTCTTCAGACTCCTTAACAACAATCATATACGAAGGATTCCCAGGGCAGCGTTTGAAGACCTAGAAAACCTCAAATATCTGTAAGTTTCTCTCATGTAACTTTTGTTTGCTGTTGAGTTTAGTAGCAAATTAACCCTGATTTTTTGTTCTCCATAAAGTTTGTTTTTGTGTATTTTTTATTTTTATTTTTGCAAATCTATTATTATCCAGCTACAGTGCTAAATTTGCTCTTGAGAAGTTTGGACCTGGAGATGATTGGCCCTGGTGCATGAAGTTGTTTTTGTCTTCTCAATAGAGAACATTTGATCAATTTAGTATTAAACTACTAAGCATAAACTACAGTTTTGTTGGGGGGGGACTATAAGGTGCACTGGATTAGAAGGTGTAATATCAATGAGCGGGTCATAAGGCACACCATAAGGCTCACTGTTGATTTTTGAGAAAATTAAAGGATTTTAAGTGTGCCTTATAGTCTGAATAATACAGTATTCAGACTTCTGTTTGCAAAATATAAAACCTCAGAAAAGAAGTCTTGGGACATTTGTGTAAATATAGAAATGACTCCACAAAAGAAAAAAAGATGGTACAAAGAGGAGAGAAACAGTCTTTTCTGTTTTCTCCTCAGCAGACTGGCGTACACGTTCCTCACATTCCACCACACTTGTTTGTAATTAAATCCAGTAGTTATTAGTCACTATTTTAATTACAGAACCCCCCTCACTAAAAGCACAGTTGATCTGAAGGCTGCACTGCTACCACAAACTCTGTGATTATGTAAAAGTGTTCCCCATTTCTGCCTAGTCGTTCTGCAGCTGGAGGTTAGATCTGACCTCTTCTTCCTTTGGACTTCTGTAAAGTCCCCTGCTTATCCTCTATGAGCTCCTTAAGGCCTAATGATTAGATGACTTTTCATAAACAATTCAGAGATGTCAAGGTGTAATTGTGGATATTGTTTTCAGGTTTTCTGTTAGCTTTTCTTTTTTTTTTTTTTTTACTTTTAAGAAACTGCCTGTTTTCCTTCGCAGCTTATTGAGGAAATGGAAAAAAGTTGGTTGGTGTCAAATCTGGCAACAAGAGCCAGCAGTGAGTAGTTAGGCCTTATTTTAGATGCACTGAGTGCAAACTGAGACACACAGAACTCAGCTAAAATTCACATGGTCTAACACAAGGAAGTGGATGTGAACTTGACAGTTCATTGTGTTTTTAATTGTACTAAACATCTTTTGAATAGTCTCAAACCAGATGTCCCACTGGGTTGGCTCCTGCCTGCTTTGTTGCTTGAATATATATATATATATATAT